GGCTTAGTTTTACCATGCAAAGAAATACTCAAGCCATTTTGATTTGACATGATACAACACAGAGATGCTGCATTCCTATGGAAATCTTTCAATAACTCACACTGCTGATTCTGTTCTTCATCTGTGAGAACTATCTGTTCTCACAGAGAAAAAGTTTAGCTAATACTGTTGCTGTAATAGTGCTCTTAAACATGATAGGCAAATCCACACTGAATAGCTCATGTTTCAACTTTAGCAGTTATGAAATTGATGCTGCCATGTTGTATTTGTATGATACAGTTAGCAATGCTTATGACTCTTGCAAAGTGTCAGTTAAAATAGTAGCTTTAGCACAGAGATTCTGCTGATAGAAGATACAGTGGAAAAAAATGAGAACATTTGAATCTGTTAAGACTTTTTTTATCTGTGCAGTAAACCCTTCATGTTTTCCTGTCATGGAAGGAGCACTGTCTGGACTGACATTCAGTAAATTTACCGAATTCAGTCCAACTTCACATTTATCTCGAAAGTTGTTAAAAGTAACTTCATCCATTTCTGTTCACAAAAATGCCCAAAGCAAGTGACTCTTCCTAGCAAAGAAAATCTTCTGTTACGACCCCAGTGAAGTATAGCTTCCTTTTTTGTTTTTTGTTTTTCTTTCTGTGATGATGGAAAGATGAAATGAGACGACCTGAATGAAATATAGAACCTGCACCGAGTCAGTTGATTCATCCAAAGAGATTGAATAATATATATTTTCCTTCAGAAATCCAGCACGAAGTTGTTCTGTTAAGCTGTGACTAATTCATGCTGCCAGTCAGTTATGGCTCTCCTCGAAAGAGGCTGTTGTTTGTATTTTGAAAGGTTATTGGGGTCTAAGCATCCTACAGTTTCGACAATGCATTCTTTCCAGTTTTTACATCACTGAATAGCTTCCCTTTTTCCCCCAAGTATGTAAGCTACTTTTTTTTTTGAGACAAACCCTCAAGCTGTCCCCCTGGGTAGAGTGCCGTGGCATCACAGCTCACAGCAACCTCCAACTCCTAGGCTCAAGTGAGTCTCCTGCCTCCGCCTCCCAAGCAGCTGGGACCACCGGCACCCACCACAACACCTGGCCATTTTTTGGTTGCAGACATCATTGTTGTTTGGCGGGCCCGGGCTGGATTCGAACCCGCCACCTTAGGTGTATGTGGCTGGCGCCTTAGCCACTTGAGCCACAGGCGTCGAGCCGAGCTACTTTTTTTATAAGTTGATTTAGTGGCATTATTTCCAGGTCTTACTGCTGCTTAAAAGAATTGTCTTGGATTTTGATCTTTTAATTTCTATAATACAACCTTTTGTGTCACTTCTCTAATTTAAAATATTTGCAGTACTTATAAGTGTTATAATGCTGATGAGCATTGAATTTCTTTCTTTTTTTTTTTTTTTTTTGAGACAGTCTCACTATGTCATCCTCGGTAGAGTGTCATGACATCACATCTCACAGCAACCTCAAACTCTTGCTTAATCAATTCTCTTACCTCAGCCTCCCAAGTAGCTGGGACTACAGGCACCTGCCACAATGCCCAGCTATATTTTTTTGTTGTTGTTGTTGAGGTTGTCATTGTTGTTTAGCAGGCCCAGGCTGAGTTCAAAGCCCCAGTGTATGTGGCCGGTGCCCTAACCACTAAGCTATGTGTGCCAAGCCAGCATTGAATTTCTTTAACAGTAATGTTGCAGTTACACAAAGCAAGCAAATCACCGCATCTTTAGCAGAAATAAGATAATATTGCACTTGCCAGTCCTCACTGAGAAATCTCTTTTCCTCCTTCAGTGTTCTCCTGGTCTTTGACATGATAGGCTCTTAAGCAGACAGAATTAAAAAATACTGTTGAGATGTGCAACTGTTCACAAATTGGCTTCAGACAGAAACACAGTGCACCTTTATCAAAAGCTGATGACAGACTGGCGTGCTCGACCCCCATAAACTCTCATCCACTGGCCTCATGCAGTAGTGGTGCCAGTCAGGCAGGGAAAGTTAGAACTAAATCATGAGTGTAGCAGCTGTCATTTACCCCTTGGGGCTTAGTAATGTTCTAATTGTGCCCGTCAATCTGGGAGGATTATTTCATGAAAACTCATTTTATTCTTTGGTATTTTAAAAATAAAATAAATATAAAAGATGAATTAAAATGTATTAATAAAAATAAAAGATTTTCTTTCTATAAAATTTTGATTTAGTCAAAAGGCTGTGCTTAAGGACCTAGAAAGCTACATGCGGCCCTAAGGCCATAGGTTTCCCCACCCCTCGTATATGCAGACTGTTATACAGCTTGTCGTCAGTGTGTATATTCAGGACAATGTGCTTTTAGAATGATTTCCAGATCTTTTAGGCAAACTGGATCACTGTATAACCCTTTGCTGAACCTCACTTCCCTCAACTATAGAATGAAAACTTTTATAAATGACCTCAGAGACCTGTTTTTGCTTTTGGATTTTTTTTTTTTTTT